GAGGAGGGTTGGAGGAGGAGGACTGTAGAGTCCTTAGTGCTCTCTGAGCTTGGTGGGTTTTCTTGCAGATGTTTCATGACCCAACTAGGTAACATCATTAGTGCCAGAGGGAAGTAGGATTTGTGGAGATGAGGAGGAGGAGGATGACTGGGGTCCTTGATGCTGAACTTGGTGGTTTTCTTGCAGATGTTTTATGACTCTACTAGGTTACTGCTAATACTGATAATGTTACCCAGTTGGGTTATGAAACGTCTGCAAGGCATGCTAGATTTATAACAAAGAGCAGTGTGTAAACCCAACGAAAATACAGTCCAAGCATAAGCAATAATCCCTCTTCACTGACAGCCATATTTTAATCAAATAAAGAGGTATTCCTGGACATTCTTCCGTTTATTCCAATAGAGAGAATCACAAGAGGTCCAAGTTTTTTTGACTTTTAGGATTCTTAGACCCCTGGCTAGGACTCAAATCCCTGGCGTCAACAACCAATAAATTATACCCTGATGTTTATTAGGAGGAAGAGACTAGTAGCAGCAGTACTGGTAGTAGTAAGATACAGTCTGAAACAATGCAGTGGAAAATTCTTTCATCAAATTATAACCGAAAAGATGGCACCGGTCACCATTTAAAAGAGTTTGATTGGGGCCTTTAATTGTTCAGTTCAATTTATTGATCCTAACAGAAGGGATATTTTGTTTGAAAGGCAGAAAGAGGCCAAATCACAAATTTGCTTTTATTTACAAAGAAAGCACCCGCTCAGCCTCGCAATTAATCGGGTGTGATTTCATCACACAATTTTATTGCTCCTAGCCGAGGACATAACTTCCAGTTTCTGTAATCAACCCATTTCTCACAAGGAGAGAAGGAAAAAAGTACCGTTGAGATCTCTTACTGGGGTAGAAAGCGGTCAGCAGATTGCTTTCTAAGGATCTCGGTGGAAGCTATAAAAATGAGGTTTTATCTGCCACAAGTAGTCCATAAATTCCCAAAGAATCGTTCGCTGAATTTCCCTTTTTTTTTTTTTTTTTATTCCTGCAGCTGTGGACTCTTCCTTGGGTATATTCCCTTTGATGTCAATTTTTGGAATGAACTCCATCTGTCTCTAGCAGCTCTGATCTATGGGGCATAGGATAATAGAGCTGGAAGGGACCTTGGAGGTCTTCTAGTCCAACCCCCTGCTCAAGCAGGAGACCTAGACCAATGGCTTGTCCAGTCTCTTCGTGGAAACCTTCCGCATCGTATTATGCCTGTCAAGTCTGGGTCTGGTGACACCACAGGTAGACCCGTGTCTATTCTTACTGACCCCATGGGTAGTTTTGTATCTACTCTTGGTGACCCCATAGGTAGACCTTCTTTCCTGAGTGTTGTGTCCTCAGTACAGCCCTTCAAGTCTTCCAGGAATGCCAGGACCCTTCACTCTACAACCTAGGTTGCTGCTGAGTTTCCTCTTCCCATTCCCAGGACTAAAGGTTTCTCCAGGGAGCTGGGTCTGTGCATAATACCGTATATCCAAAATATGAACCTTATCGGGGGGGGGGGGGGGGGGGTTCTCAGATTTGTTCCGTGATTTGTTCATATAGTATGAAGAAAGAGTGTGTGTACTCAGAGACAGATTGGTCAGGATCGATCGATCTCTATCTATCTATCTATCTATCTATCTATCTATCTATCCACCACTCTCTCTTTTTCTATCTATCCATCTATCTTCTATCAATCTTTATCATCTCTCTATATATTTATCATTTATCTATCATCTCTCTGTCCTTCCATCCATCCATCTATTCATCCATTCATCTCTCTCTCTCTCTCTCTCTCTCTCTCTCTCTCTCTCTTTATCTATCTATCTATCTATCTATCTATCTATCTATCTATCTATCTAT